ACGATCTGATGTGCAGCAAACCTAGTTCGTGTGATCCATGCAGCAGATCTTTGACTATTTCTGTCATTCTTTCTCCAGGGTAACAACATAATGAAGTTTGAAACGAAGCCAAAGTGTGTTAACTATTGGTTTCTTCCTCATGAGACTGCTCTCCAAGTGTTGGACCAAAATAGTTGATCTCAGTTCCAGCCATTAAACAATTTGGTATCCCTTGTCATGCATAATAAAGCTATTCTTATATTACAGATTGAAGTTGGGTGCTGTTTTCCTGAAAGAAAATCGAAAGAACAATGTCCTTCAGTAAATTTGTTACAACTGGCGCTTAAATCAACATGTTCATTCTGTTGGAAATCTAATAAGATTGTGGCATTCGCTCTAATTGTGTTAGCTCAAAGTTGCAGGGATAGAAGAAAACTTGAGATAAGCAGTATGTATGAGTGTGACACTACGATGGCAAATGAAATGGACTTGCGTCCTTATGCTCATATTCACAGATCAGTCAATCAGAATGATAAGTAAATTAAAACACTGTTCAATTGCTGATTTATTTTGAAAAGAGATGTATGACCATGAATTATTGGATCATGTGTAAAACGATGTGAAGATTAAAACACTTTGCAAATTTACTTTTATATCAAGTGATACCAATTGATTGTGGGGCAACGACCATGCCGTCGCGGTATGATAGAACACGCCAATCATTCAGATCATACAGTGGGGCCAACCAATTCCTACTAGCAGGCTCCACAACCAACTAGAGTCACAGCAAGCATCAGCAAGTCAGCTCTTACAACAAGCATGGGGTACTGGGGACCTAGTCAGCTCTTACAACAAGCATGGGGTACTGGGGGCCTAGTCAGCTCTTACAACAAGCATGGGATACTGGGGACCTAGTCAGCCCTTACAACAAGCATGGGGTACTGGGGGCCTAGTCAGCTCTTACAACAAGCATGGGATACTGGGGGCCTAGTCAGCTCTTACAACAAGCATGGGGTACTGGGGGCCTAGTCAGCTCTTACAACAAGCATGGGGTACTGGGGGCCTAGTCAGCTCTTACAACAAGCATGGGATACTGGGGGCCTAGTCAGCTCTTACAACAAGCATGGGGTACTGGGGGCCTAGTCAGCTCTTACAACAAGCATGGGGTACTGGGGGCCTAGTCAGCTCTTACAACAAGCATGGGATACTGGGGGCCTAGTCAGCTCTTACAACAAGCATGAGGTACTGGGGGCCTAGTCAGCTCTTACAACAAGCATGAGGTACTGGGGGCCTAGTCAGCTCTTACAACAAGCATGGGGTACTGGGGGCCTAGTCAGCTCTTACAACAAGCATGGGGTACTGGGGGCCTAGTCAGCTCTTACAACAAGCATGGGGTACTGGGGGCCTAGTCAGCTCTTACAACAAGCATGGGGTACTGGGGGCCTAGTCAGCTCTTACAACAAGCATGGGATACTGGGGGCCTAGTCAGCTCTTACAACAAGCATGGGGTACTGGGGGCCTAGTCAGCTCTTACAACAAGCATGGGGTACTGGGGGCCTAGTCAGCTCTTACAACAAGCATGGGATACTGGGGGCCTAGTCAGCTCTTACAACAAGCATGAGGTACTGGGGGCCTAGTCAGCTCTTACAACAAGCATGAGGTACTGGGGGCCTAGTCAGCTCTTACAACAAGCATGGGGTACTGGGGACCTAGTCAGCTCTTAGAACAAGCATGAGGTACTGGGGGCCTAGTCAGCCCTTACAACAAGCATGGGGTACTGGACCCTATTCTGTCCCATAATTCCACACACTGATGAACAGTTTCTATAATGAACCCTGACCTCAAATAAATGGATTATCTCAAAGTTCAATATTTGTAGATTATTAATGTGACGAAGGAACAGCAATCATCACAGATATCCCTAAGGAAGGAGAAGTCACGGTCTAACTACTAGGACACTTAGGCTCTCTATTGGGAGATTATGGAATTGAGGAGCCAATACATTCAATCATGTCATAGCTTCATCTTCTTCACAGACAGTGTACACCGGACAGTCTGCACGGAATAAACTCGTTTGATGGAGTAAGATGTTCACAGGAAGAAAAACATGATAACTCTCACTGTGCCATTATCGGCAATGTTTGTCATTATGGATTAAATGATAAAGAAAATCTGTATTTGCATCTTCTTGAAAAACTTCATGATTTCAAATTTAGTAAGTGAATGTCAGCAGCTGTAAAGATAGCAATACTCAGCAATAGGGCTGTTACGATTCACTCGCGTATTTGGTGAATCGAACCGTATCCATTCATGAATTGAATTCGTTATTCGTGGCCACTTGAATTGAATATTTATGAATTTACATACCCTGTACCTAATAATACCCATAAGAACATATTATAATATGATGGATACCTTCAAAGACAACACTCTTATAATAATTAATTTGACAGTAATGTGGTCACTGGTCATTGTCGCATTTGAGCAGATACTAGTACCTGGATAAGTGCAGTATATAAATGTATAATACATTAATAGTTAACAAACCATGTGAAATAATTCATGTTGTTAATGTGTCACTGATTATAACAAATTTTACAATAGCTGCTGACTTGTTATTGTATTCGTGAATAAATATTCGTATTCGTTACCCTATGTTCATGATATGAATCGTATTCGCCTAATAGTGTATTCGTCGCAGTCCTACTCAGCAACATAACAGGCGACACCAAGATCAGGCTTTGTCCCCTACAAGGAATCAAACCAGGGTATTGGTTGGGAATGATGAGACACATTAACCACCTCCCCACTCAACCCTAAATTCTGCAAGGAACAAACAGAAACTAACTAATACAACACAATTTGTTGTAAAATCATCTTCTTGCTGAATACCTGAGTTGATATTCTGTTAAATACCGTATTGGACATGATAAGCGCCCCGCTCTAATAACTGCCCACGGTGATATTTGCAAATATATAAGCTAGTGAACAATTCGCAATTAGCACCCCTTCCGATTGATAAATGTACACAAGGCTTATTTATTTGTGCATAATATGTTTGTTACATGCACCCTTAATTATGGGCAATTAAATTCTTGAAAAAATATATGTCGTATATAAACATTTCAGGCTGTCAGCATAAACCACAAAATTTACGATCTTTCAACTCTGTTGTTTTTCACCCAAAAAATATTCTAATAAGAGCCCCCTATTTGTAATTTTGAGAGCGCCTTGGGCACTAATTATGTCGAATACGGTATTCCATGAATTCCTGATAATCAAATACAATCATACAGTCCGTACAAGTTCACTACATCTGTGTGTAACTCAACATGCCTTCAATTCTTCCCAACACCAGAATTCAACAAACACATCAGGTTATGAGTTAAATTTGGAAATTGAGATTAATGACATGTCAACTGCATAATTTGTTTGAAGATCTTAGACTCTTAACAAGCGATCCAATTCACGTGTTATTTCTATCTGACTAGATCTGCCTTTCCAATCGTTATAAAGCAGAATCTCGGAAATGAAAACTCTCCTCGGTTTTTCTGCACAGCCCTTGAGCAGCCAATTACAGTATAGGAAAGCCCATCAGTCTTCAATCTCTGACACCAGAACATTTGGAAACCTTTTTTCTCCTATCTCATCTTTACTGGAAGTTACGTTCAAGGAGACGAAGGTCAAATTATACAAAATTGGCCAACATATTTCTTGCATTTTTGCAGCTAGCATGATCATTTGGTTTTCAAACATTTAGAATATTCTGGGGGCTGGTAAGCAACACAAACATGAATATGACGCTGAAGGTTTTTATTTTAGCAGAGATGGTTAATATTTTTCCATCACTAAAAGTGTTCAAAATTAATCATGACAGTCAAGGGGTCCTTGTCTTAACCCCAATGTTAAAAATACAAGATTGAAATAATATAGGCGCAAAAAAACATTTGTTAGGCAAAATGCAAGATGTCTAGATGTCTTTTCTGGGTGACAGACAGAGTGCCTCAAAGGGAGACAATCAGGTGCAGCGATAGTAACTGGCACTGGTCCTGTAGTCCTTGCCAAACTGCCAAATAGTCAAGGTACCATTTTGCTGAATGTTATAATTATAAAGACTAAAACCGTTAGTTCCATCACTGAGATGTTAAGTCAATACATGTTCCTTACATGGTTTTTACAAGGTTGATGAAATTGAGGCCAAATCCGTTCACAAATCAAATACGCAACATCCCACTCCATGATGCTTGGAGCACAGCTGAAGGCTCTGGTGCCATGGCTGTTGTGTATTTCGGGTCAGGTGTAGAACAAATATATCCCACAAATGTCCTCCAACCGATACACTTGACACAACAGAGGCACTCGAGCTGCATACAGATACACAGGTGCCCTGGGCATGCTTGGTGGGCTGTGAGTGGAAAGAGAACACGATCTTCATTGTATACATAACCATTTGCCATGAGACTCGTGTTTGGCTGTGCTCTAAGGCAGATAAATGACTTGTGGTCGGACCTTATCAGGATAAAAAAGAAACAGTTGCCCTTCATTCTAGAAAATATGACTTTTTATTATGTATTTAGTGTTAAAATATTATACTTATCTCCAAAGAACAAAAACAGTTGCCCTTCATTCTAGAAAATATGACTTTCTACTGTGTATATAGTGTTAAAATACTATACTTATCTCCAAATATAAAATCAATATTTCCCTCGGGTACTGGGTCTACTTTCTACCCACCTCAATGACACTATTGTTTTTGGAATTAGATCCTGAAAATCATGGAAGAAAATACATACTGAACATTCATTTTTTTCTTGTGAAATAACATAATTATCTCATCTCATGACCAGCAAAGCTGACATTTTCTCTTGTAGATGCGCCATTCATGAAAATATCAACAGGTCACATGATGAGATTCATGTTATTTTACAAGAAAAGATAAAGATAAATATTGTGTGCATATTGTGATAGAGTACATGTCACTCGTGGGCTATCTGCTACTTGGTACTGGTACCGCATCTTACCTGCAGCTACGATGTGAAGAGTGTGTTCAGGTGCAGCTCCTGACAGTAAGTCCGGGTATCTGGAACAGAAAGAGAGACATGATACATGTGACACAGGACAGGCCTCTAGATGCACAATTATGGCTGACCAGGGCTAGCGAAAAAGATAGATAAGCCAAAAAAAAATAATAGTCTTGGTTGTCAGGCACTGCCCGTATCATCATAAGGTTTGCCGCATATTTCGTTGTTATTTCCAAGCAGACACACCAGTAGTCCTTAAATATTCCAAGTCCAACGGTAGTTACATATACAGTGCTCAAGTATTTTACTCAAAGAATACATTTATGTAGGGAGGCCCTTTCCCAGGTTGATTGTACTATACTGTTTATTTGGTTACACATCTGTTTGTTTGGTTACCGTACATACTAGTTTGAACAACCAAGAAAAAAAGAAGAAAGACACCGCCCTCCCGCCCGCCTGCACTATGTTTTCAAAAGCCATTCCCTGAGAACCAATTCTTTTATTTCTTTAAGCCTAGTCAGAATTATTGACAATGGGAAAAAATATGAACGATTATCGATTAAATTGTTGTCATTGACTATAACATACACAAACTGTTGTGATGATAAAAAGTTTAGATTTACCGAAACAGACTTGTTATTGTCAATAATGTCAATGTTTTTTGTTTTATCTCAAATGTCCACAAAGTAATCTATGCATAAAATTGTCACTGCGCACCAGTGCATGAAATAAGTTGATTTCCTTGGGGACTTTTTTTGCATATTTGCTTAAAGTTACTTGTCTGATATTTATCAATAATTGATCGATATTAGTTGGTGATTATCGATCTCTATAATCTATATCGATAGCAAGCCCTATGGATGACCATTCAGTTGTTAGCTCTACCACAGCTGCAACAACACCGTCCTTCACCAGCCTCAGTGGGGGCAGCGCCACCACACCATTCACAGCAGCCACTATTGGCATGATGTAATTGGTAAGGCCAGACTTTATTGGGGTGGGTGGTTACAGATTCTGGCCCATAAAATCAGGCCGGTTGGTCACAAAAATTGTTATAAAAAGATAAATCAAATTTAAAATATTTTGTTTGATTTTCTCTTATGATTTGTCATAATTTGTTGTGTTTTGAAGTGTACTTTAAATAATTTATATGCCCCTGTATTGATAGCGACATAAATGAGTTTTTTTAACAATTTACTTATTTCTGGTCAGTGGAAAAAAAAACCACTTAATTTTCTGCCTTCTTAATAAATCTTCAGTAATCTCTTTATAAATGTACATTTACATGAAGAATGAGTTTGGATGATAAATAGAATATCATTTGAGTATCTTCCAAGCTCTAATGTTATCAAGACTCATTGATAAAAGTAAAAACATCCTCCTCAAGACTCAATTATTTGTAACTTTTATCAGTTCGTCTTGATGTATTAGATCTTGGAAGACACTAGGGTGAGATTCTGTATGTGTACACCCAGTCCACTACAATCTAGCCAGCAGTGCACCGTCACAGGACAAGAATGTTGTACAACCGTGTGTGCAGCATGTCATCAATAACCACAGCAAACCCGAGTCTAATGTGGTTGTTAAATTGCTCTGTTGTTCCTGAAATGCAATTTTCTGCTATACCCATATATCATTCGGGAACATCAAAGAAATGCGTTTTATTTCAAAGGATCAATTTTGTCATCATGAGGCACAAAATCAAAGTGTGTCTGGCTACACTGATATGAAGCTTAAATAAAACTGGCCAAACAGGCATCTCAGAAAAAGTATATGGCTTAGAACATTAATCCAAGCACATGAAACTTACATTCAGCATTTAGTATGTACATGATACAGGGTTCCCACTGGAAAAGTATTTCTTGATGTCGCATTCATAAAATAAAACTTACATAATAACCACCACTATTTGTTTAATGTTCTCGCACTACCGATTGATTAGCAAGATAAACATACCAGTAACAATAGGACCTGACACTGGTCACCCAGCCAAGACAGACACACCTGTAAACAATAGGACCTGACACACCTGTAAACAATAGGACCTGACACTGGTCACCCAACCAAGACAGACACACCTATAAACAATAGGACCTGACACTGGTCACCCAACCACCACAGACACACCTGTAAACAATAGGACCTGACACTGGTCACCCAAACAAGACAGACACACCTGTAAACAATAGGACCTGACTCTGGTCACCCAAACAAGACAGACACACCAGTATACAATAGGACCTGACACACTTGTAAACAATAGGACCTGACACTGGTTGGTCACAACCACCACAGACACACCTGTAAACAATAGGACCTGACACTGGTCACCCAAACAAGACAGACACACCTGTAAACAATAGGACCTGACTCTGGTCACCCAAACAAGACAGACACACCAGTATACAATAGGACCTGACACACTTGTAAACAATAGGACCTGACACTGGTTGGTCACAACCAACACAGACACACCTGTAAACAATAGGACCTGACAATGGTCACCCAGCCAACACAGACACACCAGTAAACAATAAGACCTGACACTGGTTGGTAACAACCATCACAGACACACCAGAGTACACCATGACCTCACACCCAACAAAGACAGACACACCAGTGTACACAATGACCTCACACACAACAAAGACAGACACACCAGAGTACGCCATGACCTCACACACAACAAAGACAGACATACCAGAGTACACCATGACCTCACACACAACAAAGACAGACACACCAGAGTACACCATGACCTCACACACAACAAAGACAGACATACCAGAGTACACCATGACCTCACACACAACAAAGACAGACACACCAGAGTACGCCATGACCTCACACACAACAAAGACAGACACACCAGTGCACACCATGACATCACACACAACAAAGACAGACACACCAGAGTACGCCATGACCTCACACCCAACAAAGACAGACACACCAGAGTACACCATGACCTCACACACAACAAAGACAGACATACCAGAGTAGACCATGACCTCACACACACCAAAGACAGACACACCAGAGTACACCATGACATCACACAGACCTATTACGGCCATGATAGACATGTCTTATGATCATTGACAAATCGGAACAGATTACAGAATGCGCAAATAATGAGATGTTCCTCCTTGGTTTCTACTCAATCCTCCGAAGCAGAAAGATAGGCTAGTTCATGACTCGTTTATTACAGCCATCTTTCTTCAGCTTGTCATCGGACATTCTAATCCTTGCAGGAAGCAAGGTTCATGGGCATTGTAGGGAACCACTGAAAGATAACGAGATGACGCTTGCGAAGTAAGAAAGTTTCCAGAAAACTAGTCATTACTATCGATTTGTGAAAAGATGTCCCTTGACAGCAGTGAAAAGTAGACATTCGTCTTTTTAGATATTTTACTGAAAAAAACCAAAACAAGCTCATGGATGTTTTGTAGATTTCTTTGGAAATGAAAAAAATAATTCTAATCTTGAGAAACTAGATAGTTTTCTTATATGGCTACTCTATTGATATTGTTCTGTTGAGTAATTGGTTTGTAAATTAAACTCCTCTCTAATCCAAACATTCCATGAAAGTCACTACATCAGGGTAAATTTTACCTTTAAGTAATCCAAAAGAAACTGAAAAATCAATTCAGATTTTAAACATGATAAAGACATCTGCTTAAGGTACTTTCTTTAGGATATTCAGAGCGGGCCTTGGATTAAAAAAAAACAACTCCAAAAGAATTAAATAAGAAAATACTGGAAACATGTTTGCCTGAGGCTAGACACAAACATGATGTTTCAAAGGACATACTGGACGTCCTACACAATAGTCACACACAACAAAGACAGACACACCAGAGTACACCATGACCTCACACACAACAAAGACAGACATACCAGAGTACACCATGACCTCACACACAACAAAGACAGACATACCAGAGTACACCATGACCTCACACACAACAAAAACAGACACACCAGAGTACACCATGACCTAACACACACCAAAGACAGGCACACCAGTGCACACCATGACCTCACACACAACAAAGACAGACACACCAGAGTACGCCATGACCTCACACACAACAAAGACAGACATACCAGAGTACACCATGACCTCACACACAACAAAGACAGACAAACCAGAGCACGCCATGACCTCACACACAACAAAGACAGACATACCAGTGTACACCATGACCTCACACACAACAAAGACAGACACACCAGAGCACGCCATGACCTCACACACAACAAAGACAGACACACCAGAGTACACCATGACCTCACACACAACAAAGACAGACACACCAGAGTACACCATGACCTCACACACAACAAAGACAGACATACCAGAGTACACCATGACCTCACACACAACAAAAACAGACACACCAGAGTACACCATGACCTAACACACACCAAAGACAGGCACACCAGTGCACACCATGACCTCACACACAACAAAGACAGACACACCAGAGTACGCCATGACCTCACACACAACAAAGACAGACATACCAGAGTACACCATGACCTCACACACAACAAAGACAGACACACCAGTGCACACCATGACCTCACACACAACAAAGACAGACATACCAGAGTACACCATGACCTCACACACAACAAAGACAGACACACCAGAGTACACCATGACCTCACACACACCAAAGACAGACACACCAGTGCACACCATGACCTCACACACAACAAAGACAGACACACCAGAGTACGCCATGACCTCACACACAACAAAGACAGACACACCAGAGTACACCATGACCTCACACACAACAAAGACAGACAAACCAGAGCACGCCATGACCTCACACACAACAAAGACAGACATACCAGTGTACGCCAAAGAACAAAGGACATACTGGACGTCCTAAACAATAGTTTTGTGAATAAAATTGTTTGGCACCTTCTTTTCAGAAAAAAACAGTGACTGAAAAAATATTCAACCTCTAACAGATCCCAGCAACGATGTCCAAAATAGCTGCCTGCCTATCTCGTGGCTGGTAACATTTCTATTGGATTGGTA